GAAACATTGCAGAACGGGTGACTCTGAATCACTGCCGAGACTCCAGATGCCGAGGAGCCTGGGACTGGACACGTCTTTCCACTGCAATGTGGTTTTTGCCAAGAACAGCAATGAGTTCTTTTTTATTGTCTGAGAACATCAGGGGTTACTTGTGTTTATTTGTGAGGTGATTCATCCAGTTCCAGAAGTGCAGGCAGAGCACATCTGACAGCCAAGGCTCTGTGGAGCTGGGCACAGGTGGCTGTTTTGGCAACTCAGTGGTCACCTCTGGAGGCCACACTGCTTAGCAGGTGGGAGGGGCCGCCCGGGACCCAGTTGGCCAGGATTGGGGGCCCCGTTTCTCACCTCTGCCAGTAAGTCCCCATCTGGGTCTGAGTCTCCTCTTGAAGGTGATTGTGGTGATTAGTAAGAGGATATGCATGGAACTCTGAACCCCACCTGGTACATGGTAAAGGGTCAACACAGTCCGGTCCTTCACCACTGGCTTTTTACATACATATGTAACTTTATTTAATTTTGGCCGTGCTGGGTTGTTGCCGTTCAGGCTTTTCTCTAGTTGGGGGGTGCGGGGCCGACCCTCCAGCCGTGGGGTGCAGTGACTTCTCTTGTTGTGGGGCATGGGCTCTAGGGTGTGCAGGCCCAGCGGCTACAGCTTCCAGGCTCTGGAGCAGGGGCTCACTAATTGTTGGCACATGGGCTTTGTTGCTCTGTGGCATGTGGAATCTTCCCAGACCAGGGATCAAACCTGTGTCCCCTGCGTTCACCAGTAGTTTCTTTACCAGTCAGCCGCCAAGGAAGTCCTACCATTGATCACTGATTACACGATATAGTCACAGCTTTATGCCCTAGGGCAAGCATAGCCTTGAAGCAGACACAGGTCTTCACTAGTGAAATGTCCTGTAACCTGGATCAGATACCTCAAAAATTTTTGGCTGAGCTGAGTCAACTGTAAAAACATACATCTTTGTAAGAGGGAAGCAGGTTCTATGTGAGGTACCCCCAAATTTAGCAGTTACCCCTGATGCCCTGACTTTTCCAAGCAGTTAGTCTTGTCCAAAGTGGGGCCCGCATCTCTGCTGTGATATCACCCCAGGGAGGACACCCCCCTGGGGGGCAGTGCCTGCAGTCAGAGCTGAGGGGGAGAGTGTGACTTGGAGGCAGTCTACGGCTGTGGACATCCAGCAAGCATAGAATCTGTCACCCCAGAGTACGTGCTTTGAGAGGTTGTAAATGGACACTCAGAAGTAGGAGAGCCAAGACCACAGACATCGAATTCAGCCTTTCTCTTATATGCAAAATGTCTTGATCCAACTAGAAGAGAGAAATAAAGGCTAATACGGTGGCCTTCTGTCTGATTACAGGCAATGTTAACCCAGTATGTATAGTTCGGCTGAATGATCCTGTTCAGAAGTTCTCCAGCACCCTCGCAAGAAACGCTACTGCCCTCACTTGGGAAGAAGAAATCACCTTGTGAGTACAGCTGGCTCTCATGGACTTGGGTTTCCATGGCCTCACCTACTCGATGCTGTCAAATTCTGAAACCATCCCGTAGCACAAAAGGAAGGAAGAAAGGAAAGGAAGAGAGGAAGGGGGAAACACTGAGGTGGCTTTAAGTCAGACATGGATTTCTTTTTGAAGGCAGCTCTTAGGATCGGTTCACTCCTCACCTACTCCCATGCCCTGCTGTGACAAGGGAGATGTGTTGTCCGACCTCCCCCTTGCTTTAGAAACACACGCCATCCAGAGCAGAATGAAAGGCAACTTCTGATTGATACTGATAGCTTACAGTGAACAATGTTGGATTCGTGATCTCTGGAAGAAGATTTAGCTTCCGGACCAGGGACCAGGCTTGATCACTCAAGAGCTTTTGTGTAGCAGAGTTTTATTAAAGTAAGAAAAGGGAGGAGAGAAAGCTTCTGACATAGACATCAGAAGGGGGATGAAGAATGCCCCCACTTGCTAGTTTTATCAAGGCCTTATATACTTTTACCAGACCCGCTCCCACAACATAAATCTTAAATTAGCAAAATTAGAACTAACAATTGAAAGGTCTTACCAGACCCACTCTTACAACATACATCTTGAGATAACAAGATTAGTCAGAAGGTTCTTCTTAAGAAGAAGAAACATGTCCTCGAGCAAGACACATTGTTGTTATAGGATCATTAGTACAGAGCTTAAGGCAAAACAGATCCTTGAGCAAGATGAGTTTTGTTGTGTCATCATTGGCTCTGGGCTTAAAGAAAATAGCCTCTTAGGTGACTAAGACAAAGCAATGTAGAAAAAACAGTTTGTCCTTTTCTCCTTCTTGAGGGCCCCAGACCCTTCCTCCTTGAGGGCCCCAGACTCCTTATCAACTCACCTAAGAATTAACTCTCTCAATACCAAAGTCTGACAAAGAGAATGGAAAAAGGGAAATGTGTAGACCACTTATAAATTATGATGCAGGAATTCTAACTAAAGTATTATCAGATAGAATCCAGTAGCACATGAAGAATGACATACCAAGGACTTTCCTGGTGGGAGTCCTCCTGCCAATGCAGGGGACATGGGTTCGATCCCTGGTCTGGGAAGATTCCACATGTCATGGAGCAGCTAAGCCTGTGAGCCACACTGCTGAGCATCGTGCTGCAACTACTGAATTTAAAAAAAAAAGAAAAGAGTAATACACTGAGGCCGAGTTCATACCAAAAGTGCAAGTATGGGTTAATGTGAGATCTATTAATGAAATCCAAATCGTGTCACTAGATCAAAGAAAAACACAAAGTAATTATCTCTATATAGGCCCAAAAGATAGTCAGTGGCATTTGATACCAGTTTCTAAGTTTTAAAACTTAATTAGAACAAGATTTATGTTCACTTTTTTCCAAAAGATTTTTTAAAAAATCACGTTAATGGTAAGTATTAGAAGCAGTCCCACTAAAGTCAAGAGAAGGATCCCCAGTGTTTTGTTCTAGAAGTGCTGGTTAATGCAATTAGATAAGAAAAAGAAATAGTATGCAAGTAGTAGAGAGGAAGAGGCAAAACTAATCATTACTTGGAGATGATATTATTGCATATTTAGCCTACTCAGGGTTTCCCTGGTGGCTCAGGCAGTAAAGAATCTGCTGCAATGCAGGAGGCCAGGGTTTGATCCCTGGGTCGGGAAGATCCCCTGGAGAAGGAAATGGCAACCACTTCAGTATTCTTGCCTGGGAAATCTCATGGGCAGAGGACCCTGGCGGGCTGCAGTCCACGGGATCACAAAGAATTGGACACAACTGAGTGACTAACACACACAGACTACTCAAGAAAATCAATTGAAACTATTAGAAATAATGGATATAGCATAGAAACAATAATACAAAAATTAATATAAATTATATTTTGGTAAAGTAGCGGACGACAAAAATATACAAATCACTTTCTCGTGTTAAATAGTAAATAATTAGAAAAATAAAGGAAGAAGGTGTCCCATGTATAATGTAAAGGGCTTTTTATAAATTATTAATACAAATATGTGATTCTCATACAAAATTGGGCAAAATATCTCAACTAGAAATAAAAAAGTAAGAATTCTAGATAGCTAGAAACATCTGAAAAGATATTCAATCTCAGAAATAGCTAAAGTAATGCAAACTTAAGTGAAGATTATTTTTCTCCTTACAAGTGAGTAGAGAAAAACTGAAAGTGGCCAGTGGATATATATATTGGAATAATTATTCTGGAAGTCATCAATATATATAAAAAAACAAAATCTTTTATATGCATATACCTTTTGATTGGCAATTGCTCTTATTCTAAGGAAATAATCACACAGTATGTGCAAGGATATACATATGAGGATGTTTATCTCAGCTTGTTTATAATTATGAACTATTGGAGGCAAACTATTATTGAGGCTTGGTTATTAAGGAGTTGGCTGAATAAAATCTCATAGGGCCAGATGGTGGAGTACTAGATGCCTATGAAAAAGGGTGTTGCTCTATACCTATTGACATGGGAAGATATCCATGAAATCTTAAGTGAAAACAACAGATTATAAAGGAATGGGGAAGCATATTATGTTCTATATTTGTTTTCAAATAGTTATACAGCTATACCTTTTAATACAGGAACTACTAACCACATGTAGCTCTTTAAATTTCAATTAATTGAAATTAACAAAATGAAACCCAGTTCCTCCGTTCACACTGGCCACATTTAAAGTTCTCAGTAGCTGGGATTCCCTGGTGGTCCAGTGGTTAAGGATTTGCCTTGCAATGCAAGGAAACACAGGTTCGATCCCCGTTCCAGGAAAATTCCACCTGCCACAGAGCTGCTTAGCCATGAACCACGACTACCCAGCCTAGGTGCCTGAGCCCGTGTGCCTAAAGCCCATGCCCTACAACAAGAGAAGCCATTGCAATGGGAAGCTTGTTCACCACAACAAAGAGTAGCCCCCACTCGTTGCAACTAGAGGAAGTCCATGCGCAACAGTGAAGACCCAGTGCAGCCAAAAATAAAATAAATTTCTCAATAGCCAAATGTAGCTGCTGGCCACCAAATCCGATGGCAGTTCTACAGAACTTTTCCATTGTCATTCATTAAGTTCCACTGAATAATCCTAGGAATGTGCATGTGGGCTCAGTTGCTAAGTCATGCTGATTCTGCAACCCCATGGACTGTAGCCCACCAGGCTTCTCTGCGCATGGGATTTTCCAGGCAAGAACACTGGAATTGGTTGCCATTTCCTACTCCAGGGGATGTGCCCCACTCAGGGACTGAATCTGCATCTCCTGCATTGGCAGGCGAATTCTCTACCACTGAGCCACCTGGGAATCCCAATCCTAGGAGACTAGTCACCAAATATTAACAGTAATTATTTCTGGATAGTGAAGTTGCTGATAATCTTTGTATTTACTTGACTTATACGTCCCTGTAGTTTCTTAAATATTGAAGGTGATTTGCATTCCTTTCTGTCAAATCAGAAAAAAAAAATGCTATTTCAAGAAAATAGTAAAGCACTTTTAAGGACTCACAGCCCTTCTTTCCGCAGTGAGCTGAATGCCAAGTCGAGGGAGTTGCACCTGCAGATTTCAGACGACGGGCAGTCCTCAGAAGGTGGGTGTTCAGCAGACAGAAGGAGGCCTGCTCTCTGGGAGGGTCATACAGCAGCCCTGACCAGGGCCTTGGGGCAGGGAGGGTGGGAGATTCAGCAGAAGGACCCGCTCTGCCCACTAAGCCACTCCAAGTTCTCCCAAGGGAATGTTTAGTCAACAGTCCATTCCAATTATTGTTGTTGCTAAGTCACTAAGTCCTGTCCCTCTCTTTGCGACCCCATGGACCACAGCACACCAGGCTCCTCTGTCCTCCACTATCCCCTGGAGTTTGCTCAAACTCATGTCCCTAGAGTCAATGATGACATGCCACCATCTCATCCTCTGTCACCCCTTTATCCTCCTACTCTCAATCTTTCCCAGCATCAGGGTCTTTTCCAGTGAGTCAGCTCTTTCCATCAGGTGGCCTGATGGAAATCCTAAAGAGTTCCTTTAGGATTGATTGCTTTGATCTCCTTGCAGTCCAAGGGACTCTCAAGAGTCTTCAGCACCACAGTTTGAAAGCATGAATTTTTTGGTGCTTAACCTTCTTTATGGTCCAACTCTCACATCCATACATGACTACTGGAAAAACCATAGCTTTGACTATATGGACCTTTGTCAGCAGTTATTCTAGTTATTAACAAGGTCAAACATTCTAAGAAAGAGTATATTCAACTAATCCTTTTCATTTTTTAATACAAATATCCAAAATCTTATATTCAACAATCATTGGCTTGAGAAGCAATTCTCAGCCTTCTTGGGCCTAATAAACCTTCTTTTTTAAAAATTTTATCTCAGTTTTTAACTGTGGTAAAACATATATAAACGTTACCATCTTAACCATCTTTGAGTGTAAAATTCAGTAGCACTAAGTGCATTCACATGGTGGTACAGACATCACCACCATCCGTTTCCAAAATTCATCTTTGTTGCTGTTCATTCACTCAGTTTTGTCCAACTGTTTGCAACCCCATGGACTGCAGCACGCCAGGCTTCCCTGTCCTTCACCATCTCCTGGAGTTTGCTCAAACTCATATCCATTGAGTTAGTGATACCATCCAGTCATTTCATCCTCTGTCTCCCCTTTCTCCTCCCGCCCTCAATCTTTCCCAGCATCTGGGTCTTTTCCAATGAGTTCACTCTTTGCATCAGGTGACCAAAGTATTGGAACTTCAGCTTCGATATCAGTCCTTCATCTTAGAAAACTTACACTCACTCCCCATGCCTCTCCTGTAGCCTCTGGCACACACCCTTCTGCTTTCTGTCTCCATGAATTACAACTGGCTTTTCCTTGTGAAAGAAGCCCCAGCAGCTTAAATAGAGCACATACTTTGAAGTAAAGTGTTAGTTGGCTCAGTCGTGTCCGAGTCTTTGTGACCCCATGGACTGTAGCCCTCCAGACTCCTCTGTTCATTGAATTCTCCAGGCAAGAATATTGGAGTGGGTTGACATTTCCTTCTCCAATATTGGGCACATGCTTTAGATACAAGAAAGCAATAATCAGAGGTAAAACTCCCTAGAGTGAGTGTGGACCTGTGTATATGCATGTGTGTAAATCCATAGTTTCAGTATTTATTAGGTTTCTTAAAATGTTTATGAACAAAAGGGAGAGGTGACCTTTGCCTGGCTAATTAAGCTGTGAAACTAAGCCATCTGTTTATCTCCTAAAGTTACCAAGACATAGGAAAAAGCAATTCAAGCCCCCTAGTTAATTAGCCATAATTTTGAGGCAGTTTCCTCAGCTCTGTAGTCTGGAGATAACTGGGATGCCCCTGAGATAAGAACTGACATTCCAAGAGAGGGTGTGTGGTCTGAAAGCAGGGTGGAACTGCTGTTTGCTAATCCATGCCCAGGGCACCGCCCCTGCTGGCCACGTGGGAATTTTGTTCTAGTCCAGCCTGATGGGATTTGTGAAATTTCTCACTTAAGAAGAAACAAAAAACAGAACAAAGAACAACCATATAACCTTTACTCGAACTCAAATATTTTTAACATTTTGCCCATTTCCTTCATTGTTTGTGTTCATAGGTGGTGGTTGCTGTCCAGTGGTCTTTCTCTCTCGCCACATACACACACTCAGGGCAAACCATGTGCCTTTAAGTATGGGGCGTCCTGGCCCTTTGCTCCTAAATTCTTTAGTATGTGCTTCCTAAGAATAGGGGCATTCTCTTATCTGTCCACAGTGTAGTTACCAGCTTCCTGAGTCACACTGATTCACTTTGTTAATATCCCGACCAGATTTTTCAGTCCTTCCTAGCAGTATTTCCCAGTCCAGGATAGGATCACATACCGCCTCTGATCATCACAACTCTGTAGCCACCTTGGTTTGGGGCATTTCCACGGCCTTCTTGTATCTTTTACAACACTAACTTTTCTAAAATGTTCTGAAATGGGAGTGCTTCCCAGGGAGCAAGGCAGGAGGGTGGGGATCGGGGAGGGGTGGGGGGCACGTCCAGGGCTGCTTCTGGATGCAGCTGCTCTGGGCCATCCTGCTCCCATGCAGACACCCATGGTTCTCCCCACTCATCCCCTGTCTCTTTAGCTCCGTTGGCGATGACGACTGTCCCCTTGGATTTGTTCAAGAAGCAGCCTTCCGGGCCTCAGAGCTTTACGTTAACCAGCGGGGCCTCCTCGGGCAGCTCGGCGTTGGGTTCAGTTACTGCAGAGGTATGATGTCCTCTGTGAAGGTCCTGCTCCACCCACTTGAGCAAAGGGACGTCTTTGTTGATGTCATGGTCTGAGCACAAGTTGAAAAAGAATTTCCAGACGTGAGGCAGAATGAGAGGAGAATAGAATTTATTAGAATAGGAGACACTTTTAGAACAGCGGACAGGCTCAAGGGAGAGCCAACCCCTTTCGAGGACTATTGGCCAATTTTCACCACCTTAAGACAGGGGATATTCATGCTAGGATGGTGGTGTTAGGTGATTGGTTAGGATGCTATAGAGTGGGTGGTTTACCTAATACGTCAGGGAACTGGCAGGTTTAGATCCAGAGGTTCATGGTAAACAGTTGCTGTGGGGCTTGGTTAATTCCGGAAATTTTTATCCTGTGACCTCAGTGTAGGGCTCCACACCTGTGACTTCAGTGTAGGGTGCACAACTGTGACCTCAGTGTAGGGCACACACCTGTGACCATGATGTAGGACTCCACACCCGTGACCTCGGTGTAGGGCGCCACAATTTATGTCTGTCAGACTCCTGCTCTCCTTCACCTTGAAACAAGAAGCTCCTCCAAGAAGAACTTGATGTTTCCTCCCACACATTTCTAGACATGAGTGGGATGCTTCCTGCCCAGGTTTACATTGCATCGTCTGCCCGACATTACTGCCTGTGATGTCCTTTCACTCAAGCCTAACTCAGAAGGGGCTATCTTATATTGTTTGGTTCTTCAGCCTGTGTTCCCATCATTACAAGTGGAGTGGCTGGGTCTGAGCCTGGGTCTCATCCTCCTATGTCAATTCTGGGAAAATCTCAATTCTTACCCATTAATTATGATACTAAGTGACAGTTAAAGATATCAGAGGTTATTGCAAAGGCAGGGAGTGCCCCATGGCGAGGTGTCCGTCGGCACGGACTACAAAGCAGTTAACCAGCCTTCTCTGCAGTTTTCTTACATAGAACCCGGTGAGGTAAAACCCTGGCAAATGCCTCCACCTGTTCCTGCTGCAAAGATAGAAAAAGACCGCACTGTGATGCCGTGCGGGACCGTGGTCACTACTGTCACTGCTGTGAAAACCAAGCCTCGCTTCGACGCAGGGAGGGCGTCCCCGCTGGGCTCTGGTGAGGCTCCTCCCGCAGAAAGTCTGAAATCACGCTTCCCCGGTAAATGTCTTGCATCTATAAATTGCAGAGCACTGTAGGCTGCAGGATTATTTGTAAGAAAAATCTCCTGGCACAGGAAGAATGGTAATTGGCAACTCTTTTGCATAGCTCTTTTTTTTTTAAGACAATTATCTTTCTATCTTGTCAGACAAGACAAAGCAAGGTTCAACCCTGCAGTGTATTCTGATACCAAAGTCAAGATACTAGATGAAATATCTCATTAAATTAAGCACTCCATGACATTTACATGGGGCCGCACTTTACCTTAAAACATTAGATGTGAGCGGCCAGTATATTTTCTCATGTTAAAAATCATTCATTTGGAGGCTTGATGCATAGTAGTTTCAGATCTAGCCAAATTCTGTAGCTGTCCCCACATCCACCACCTTGGAGACAACTTCTGTATAAGTGTATGGTTTATTATTACTTTTTAATTTGTACTGTGTTCCTGCGTATACAGAAGTATTACCGTGCCAGAATACATCACTTGGCTCAGTTCTTGAATGAAAAGCAGAAAGTGAAATTCTGGCTTAATTCAAAGGTTTCTGAAATTTTATTTAAACCTAGGTTTCCAATGCCTCTTTGGGGGCATTCCTTCCCTCCCCCCAAAAAAGAATAAGAGAGTGTGTTAAAAATATCTTAAGGTTTTCCTCTTACCTTTTCCAGCTGCATGAACAGTTAATTAGTAATACATTTTTAAATTTTATTTATTTTTTAATTGAAGGGTAATTGCTTTACAGAATTGTGTTGGTTCCTGCCAAACATCAACATGAATCAGCCATAGATATACACATGTCCCCTTGCTCTTGAACCTACCTCCCACCTCCCTCCCCATCCCACCCCTCGAGATTGTTACAGTTAGTTATATTTACTTATTTGGCTGCGCTGGGTCTTAGTTGTGGCATCGGGGGAATCTTTTGTTGCAGCATGTGGGATCGAGTTCCCTAACCAAGGTTTGATCCCAGGCCTCCTGCTTTGGGAGTGTAGAGCCTTAGCTGCTGGACCACCAGGGAAGCCCCAGACTGCTTGAAGTAGAGCTGAAATGAGACATGATTCACTTTCCGGTGACTGCAGAGTCAGACAGCTTTCGAAGGGCCGCTATAACCAGGATTTCTCCCGGCAGAGTCTCCCCTGAGGACACCTGTCAAGGTGAAGGTCATCGAGAAGGACATCTCGGTCCAGGCCATTTCCTGCCACGGTGCCCCCGTCAGCAAAACATTCT